TAATTATTTGTATTTGATATTTATTTGAGAAAATTGATTTCTTTATTTTGATCGGAAAAATATTTATGGAAATGAAATAATGTTTTTCTTCATTATTTTACATCGGAAAAAGAATAATATTGTGTGATTTTTGCAATTTAACAAATAAGTTTGTAAATTAAGAAAGACAGTAAATCCTTAAAACGTTTAATAATCTTGATATTCTATATTTTATGTTTACAATATAAATTAATATAAAAGAATAATGAATCATTCCATTTACGAGCAGGAAATTGTCTTATCGTAACTTATTAAAAGATTGTACTTTTTATCAAGAATATTATTTAATCAACGCCCGCATGTGAATAAAATAAATTGGCTAAAACGAGCTTAATTCATCATTCTTTTTAGAGCAAAGGGATATTTAAACGCATTTTAATTCCTTGAAAATTGAAGTATTTTAGAAGTATATATTTAGGAAAATCACCATTTATTTATTTATTTATTTTTAAATCCGTAGAACGTATTTATTACTCAGACAATATATAGAAACTTTTTATCATTGTAAGAATTTAACAAATAATATTAATTATTGTAATTATAATTTATACAATAATTAATAATTAATAAGTAGAAATAAAATAAGGATTAAATAAGGAGTATGGAGAGATAAATTTTTTTTCATTATTAGTTTATTCTGACATTTTAAGATGTATGGACAATTATTACATAATAATTTTATATAATGAAAGGTTCTCCATGGTGGTAACTTTATATAATGAGACGTTTCACTCTTTTTCTTATTTTATCTTTTGTGTAACGCTCGCCCTTTCTCCCCTGTCGATCATCCCCCTCAATAATAAGATTCTTACACATCATTCTTTCACAACGGAAATCAAATAATGATTATTAAACTATGAATGCATCATGAAATACGTGCGTTCTTGATTATTGATCGTCAATTAAACGTCATTATTCACTTCTTTTTTTTTTTTTAGTTATCTTTATCATTACCAGTGTGTTATAATAATTACCATTAATCATTATAATTACGATATAACGCTATAATTAATTCCTCCCACACAGTTTACTGCATTTCGCTCGCTTTTTACCGTGATAAACGGCACAGAGAGAGCACGTTTTTATATGATAGGATGTATAGCGAACATGTCGCGGCTGTTGTCGGTAAATTTCACCTCGCCTCGCATTATAGTCGTCATTATAGTGGATTTTCACCGGGAGGCCATGTATCTTCGAAAGAATCCTCGTCGTGCCTTTCCGCCCTCTTCCGCGAGTCCTCCAGGGCGGCCTAGCCGCGTTCCCTACGACTTCCTTCCTCTCGCGACGGAAAATAAAGAAGTCGACAGTTTAAAAAAAAAAAATACAACAAAGCAATAAAAAATAAGTGGATCGAATAAAAAGTAACTTCTGATAAATCTGCGTAGAAATGCAACGTTTATATGGCTCACAGTCTCTAAGAAGTTGACGGCGATCCTTCGCGCCGTGTTTCGATATTGATCGAATCGAATTGCAATCCTTCCTTTTTCTTCTCTCATATGTTAGAAGCGCGCAATTATATTCGGTGTATACAGCATGTACCGAACCTACCATTATTATTATTTTATTATTTCGCGGAGAGGAGTCGTTTCGAATAATTTAGAGATTTCGCGTGTTTCAAGCTTTCTAAATCTCGATTAAAATTGGCTCTAATAGAAATCGATCGATGAGCCGAGCATAGTCGTTCCCGATCCACTTGGAAAGGAGCTTGTATCATACATCTTAAACGTAATGTAATAATAATAATTGAATTCAAGAGAGAAATTTTTTATTCTCGACACGCGCTTAGCCGACTCCAGATTCGTCATGAAATTCGTTCGTCGTAAAGTATCTCTCGGCGGGTCTCTGGGACACGCTGTACACAAACTTAAATGAGCGAACAATGTCAGGTATGCACGTGTACGTACATGTAAACATGTACGCGTAAACATTTAGTTGTTAAGTTCCTTCTTATTTTTTTTTTCTTTTTCTTTTTGGTTCGATTACGTGACTAGAAATGCTACACACACACACACACACACACACACACACACACACACACACACACACACACACACACACACATCACACACCAAAAGTATGACTTAGCGGTAGTATAACTAATACGTATCTCTATATTTATATATGTATAATTATATATTTTGTATGTATAATTATATATATATTACTCGTCACAATAGCTTCTACCGGCTGTCTGTGTATTAAGCTAATTTTACAACAATATGGCAATCATGGTGAATAATGAATAATACAGCTACGTTATCGCGAGACTACACAGTCAATAACACTAATCTTAGGGACAGTAATACAAAATAAAAGGACTCTCGCATCTCGGATACAGTTTCACCGAGCGAAATTAAGTCGCGCGCTTGTACCGCGAAGCAACTCGCGCTAAACACGGGCTATCCGCCGATGAGAGACGTTCTTGGATTCATCGTTGAAAACTTTACAACTTCGACTCGCCACGAACGAAAAACCTGAATATTTTCATTTCGCTAGATAAAATATCGACGTGACTGACGTACTTTTAATAAAAATAAATAGCCAACTACTCGTACGTATAATCCATCGTTTTTATAGTGCACATTTTTTTGCGAGAAGAAACGTTTTATGTCGCATAAAAAACCACGTCGTGCGCAAAACCGCTATTGTTTTACTTCACAAAGTTGCAACGTTTTCATCCGGACGTCCCGTGCTGTCGCAATAAACCAAGGCGTTAATATGTAAAGGTCACTCTTCATCGATCTTACTTCACAAAATGTTAATTGTCGAGTTCTCTCTTTTCGACAAAAACTTGATATATCTCGGACAAATTCTTCGCGGCATGACTTCCTCGGATTCTCAATTCCGCATCCACGATCAAGTTGCCTCAAAGTGAAGTTGTCAAATTGAAATTGCGATCGCGCTAAGCGACTTTTCTTTCGCGCCACCTTTCCCATTTACTACGATTCGCAGATTGATATGAAAATGACATGGATCATTGCGCTCAATTGCCATAACCGCTAAAACATTTCTAAGATACACCCGAATAAAAACTGGATTAAAAAGAATCGCCGTTTTGCCTTCTAGAAAAATAAAATAAACGAAATAGAATAAAGTAAAAAAAAAAGACGATAAAAAAATCTTCCATTCTATCACAAACGTCTGAGGACGTTTAAAAAGGTACACCGCAATTTTTTCAGACGTCTCTTAGAGACGACTTTGGACTCTTGTTTGAGATATTTGAAATAAATCGCTCGAGAAGATAATTGGAATTTCCCCGATGTTGATGCACGAACTAGGCCGCCCTGGCGAGATTTATCTCGGACGACATCCAAGACGTCGGAAAAAAATCATCGCGCTTGGGCCCGACGCCGAAAGCCCGCTTTACCGACCGGTCGTGAGACGGTGAATGTGAGATGAAACGAAATGAAATGTGCGATCGCGAAGTGTGTGCCTCGAAGGGAGAGAGCTTGATTACACATGCGTGTGCCATGAGAGAAACAACGGAGCGAAGGAAACGGTGAGACCCGCCGATCCGGGATTGTGCGTCACGAGCGCTTACGCGCGTTACGCACAAGCGTGCAGCGATACGCGACGGGTGATTCCGCGTGTCTCGAGCGTATATTACACACATTTAATATAGTATCACACATCATAATACTATATTATTATTATTATTATTATTATTATTATTATTATTATATATTATATATTATACAGACCCGAGACTTGTCCACCTGTCTCGTCGTCGCAGCGCGATCGACTTGTCTATCTTTCGATTTCTCGCCTATCGATCTTTGCGATCTGACCGACCCGTAAGAGTCCTCCCCGATATATCGGGCCTCTTGTCGCTGCCCAGTATCAATTTCTAACGAACATCCATCCGTTGATCTCCACGAAAGTCGATTCCTCACGTCGCGATTATGCGAAGCCAGTGGACAAATAGGTCAAGCGCCGGCTTATTCGCTTCATGGATCTTTCCCTGCCGAAAGAAACTAGCCCTCTGCATTTTTACGACCGACTTTACTTCCTCTCCCGATTTCACGACCGTGTTTTGTATTTCCCATTGGTTTTATTTTCGTAAAACATTTGCTCGCGTACAGCCGCCCATTTTTCGCCTAAGTTCCTCGCTTCCTAGTTCCTTGTCAGAGGAACGTGCATTCTGCACACGTGTATACACGAAAACATTGTCACTTATATCGCTTTTCAATATTGAATTATGTATAAGTTAGCAACGCAGTAGATCGGTAGACGTATGAGTGTACTCTTGCATATTCCTGTTCCCTCTCTTTTCCTTCTGATTCCCCATGCTTACCCTCAACGTTTCGCACGCTCGATGTCCGCGAACATTTTACATAATTAAATTCACGCGCGTGTACCCCACCCAGACTTTTTGAACCTTTCGGATAAAACGATTTCATTAATATATAGAGAAAAAAGAACAAAAAAACCTGGCCAAAATTAATATGTAATATATGTGTGTGTGTGTGTGTGTGTGTGTGTGTGTGTGTGTGTGTGTGTGTGTGTGTGTGTGTGTGTGTGTGTGTGTTATTATCTAATATTAATATTGAACAATAAAATACGTTAGAATGCACGTAAAAAATACATAAATTATCTAATCGTACTATAAATATCATACTATAAATTATCTTATAAATATCAAAGAAAATAAATATTTAACAATAAGATAATAATGTCAATGTTGCCTGTTCGCAGGAAATCGCAAATGAAATTTGAAAAATGTATTAAAGTAGCTACTAAATTACTGTATAAAAAAAGATCAAATTGGAATTTAGACATATTTTTAATAAATAACTAAATTAATATTGTGTATTATTATCTAATTATGATTCAATAATAAAGCACAAATGATTTACATGATATATTTTTTATTTTACGTGTGTATTTCAATGTGCTTTATTATTAAATATTAATTGGATAATAATATATTGCAATATTAGTTTTGGCCAGATTTTCTTTTGTTTTTTTCTCTCTGTGTCGTCGATAAGCTTTTCAACAAATTGACTAGAGCCGAGAAACGATGATCTCCACGCACTTCAATTTACATTGTACCGCGAATATTCGCTAAATGTCAAGTTGATTCGAGGACAAATTGAACAGCATCCCGGAATGAATATTGGCTCTCGTTAGACGAGATAAGAAATCACTCGAGCAATCGCAACGGTCGTAAGATTTTTTTAATACGATTGGTTTATATATTTAGATCCAGTGAGGAATTTAGGATAAGAACAAATCGTATTGAAGAATCTTTTTATGCCATTTTAAAAGGTAGAAACTGATACTCATGACTAATCAAATCCTCCATATCTCGCGACAACGAGCGTAGTGTCAACTCCTATCGCGTCCAACTTGCTCTCTTAATAGAGTTTCCTCGACACCTGTGTGTAATTAGACTAAAAATTAAATCATGCGCATTTGCATGCGCTATTTGGTACGTTTCGTTTGAAAGACTTCTCACATAATTCCTCTTGATGGTTTCCGTATAAATACTTTAATCCCTAAAGTACTTACAAGTCACAAAGCACGAGATCACCCGCCTCGCTAACGATGCCATCGATTACTCACAACGGAAGCTCGGAAACATCGAGATCGATATTCATGCTCGTCCGACGTTTGAAGAGATGAAAAATCAAGTGATTTAAAATCGCTAATGAGTAGCATTGCTGCCACTCGAGACTTATTTTTAGAGCATCAACATCTCGTTGCATATATATATATATATATAAAGGTGATACGTGATCCGTGCGTATCGCGAATGATACCAGAAAATAATACAAAGCATTACGAAGAAAATATCCAAACTCCATCCCGAGATCTGAAAGATATCTAAAAATTTATTTTAGAAATGTCTTTTAAACATCTGCATCATTCAAGCATTTAAAACGTCCACTTTAAAACATCCTTCTTTATCAGACAAGCACAAGTATGTAAACGCCCGATATTTTCGAATGTCTCGTTTCAAACACCCAAAGTTAATTCTCGTTATATTATGCGTTTCCTGTCCGTTTCTTTCGTCAGTTCTCCTCGTTTTCCTCCTTCTTTGTACTTATATTACATTATTCGACGACAAAACGGGCTCGCAATCTTGATGATGAATCGCGATCGCGAAGACTGACTGATCCGAAAGGCGAAACGCGCCAAGGAAAGTCGCATGGAATAGGAACGACGAGCAGACAGGGACTTCAAAGATGAAAAAGAACGCGTCATAATTCTGCTGACGAAGTTAGACGTGAAGAAGTCTAAGGATCTTCGCAAATCGAACAGTGACAGATTCCATCTCCTCCTCCATCTGTCATTCGAAAATTCATTTTATCTATAAAGATAATTCTACCACCTTATCGCCTTCGCGATTTTTCCTAACGGAATCTAATGGCACTTCGAACGATCGTTTCTGCCACTTCTGACTCTACGCATTTATTCTTTTTTAGATTGCGGCTATCTTCGTTATCCCCTCACCCTCGCCCTTTCCTTGCGCAAAACGATCCAAATATCGAAACGTGACGATGCTGTGTTCATCGATGGCTCGTTTTCTCTCTCGCCCGTATCTCCCTCCCTCCTCTCTCCTCCCCTCAATGGTCTCGTGTAATAAAATATAACTTATGCGAGATAGCGCCGTGTACAATACGATTGTGCGCAACGAGATTCTTACTTGCCTGACCCGGAACGCGTTACACACGTGCTGGTACACGCGCCTAAAGTGTGAGGTCCCATGTATGCATGCTCTCGTACACACTTTCCCTCGCCCTCCCTTCCTCCCTTCCTGAACCGAATCGCCAGTATTGTCGGTACACCCCCGTAGGAAAAGAAAAACGAAAAGGAAGAAAACGAAGCACTTAGAAAAATACACTCTCAGGACTCCCGCCAGGAAATCGCGCCGCGGCTGTTTTTACGCGCGCGCCTGTGCGCGGGACGTCCCAGAAATTGTACACGCATAGGTACGTGCGTACGTGTGTCCCTGCTCTCGAACGCACGAAATGCGTCCACGTAAGAATCTTGAATCACTGTCAGTAACATGTCGACGATCATTTTCAGCCGTAAGAAGTCTCGTTATTTCGCAAAATTTTGTTTTTCCTCGGTGTCCACGAGTAGGATAATTTGCGAATTATCTCGTGCGTTATAGAAACTGCGAATAACCTTTTTCTTTTTTTTTTTTTCCTTTTTTCATCTCCCTAATATATCCTATCAGGAAATTTCGCAAAGCGAACGAGTGATTCAAAGTCGCGAGGATTTCAAGGGTCGACACGTTCTATATATATTTTGGAATTCGTGTATGTGCGCGACGATAAAAGTATACTGTACATGATGCTCCGCGGCAATCGTTAACGAAGGGAATACAAGTTTCTCCAAAAACGTGAAAAATAATTATGCGTGTGTGTCGATGTGCGTATGGATCGACATTTGTGGCTGTAATGTTCCCGTGCCTAGGAATACCTCGTGTGCGTGGTCGTCATATTAACTGCGTGGTAATTGCATGGCATAGAAATGACGTAAAGTAAAAATAGAAAGATCTAACGTTACGCTGAGAGAAATGTAATCAACCGAGCTATGGAGACATTTCGCGACGTCGATACCGTGGCTCTCATACGTTACAAAATTTGTCGCGTGGCCTCTTCAGCCGCTCCTCTGTTTATCAAAATGCAAATCTGGAAAACACTCTCGGCTCTCTCTTGAGAGATACGTTCGATCGCGTGCGGATCTGTTTTCCTCGATGAAAGGAGAGACGTAAGAGAATATATGAACGTGTATATGTATATATAAACGGAACTCCGAGTGCGCTTAGTAAAATCTGTGTGCGAAAGTTGTGGGAAAAGGTTTTTTTCGACTCGTGTGCGCGGCGCGCACGACACACATGACTCTTCCTCTCCTTCTCTGCGTAGGAGCGTCATGGAATGCTCGAGCGTTTCTAGCGAAACGAGAATGAAGCCAAAGATCGCGGTACAAAAATGCTCTCATGCCTCGACGGTCCTCAACATCGACGACTGATTTCGATCGACCGGTCCGATCGATTCGCGACTCCTTTAATTTTGTACAGGACCAGCGTTTTCATCGGTCGTGTCGACGATCGATTCGCACGCGAACTGCAACACGGCGGTTCTCGCCGAAGAAGAAAAACGCGTTCTCGGAGAGGCAAAAAGTTATTAAGTTTCATTCCTCCGACACGTACACCAAGATCGTGACATCACCCGCGAAACCACCTTCGATCGTTTCGGTCTCGTTCCTCGTGAAAACGACATTTGCTCCGTCCGAGGATCGGAGCCAACGATGGCCCGCCATCTCGTTCTTAGAGCATCGCGTTCTCCGCCCATAATCGATCGTTCTTTCTCCGCTGCCTTCGCCAAGGAGCGTACCGTTTCTCCGGCTGACATCACGAACGATTGACAACGTCGGCTTCTCGGATTCGTCAGCATAAAACAAGAACAAACTAAACGTTCCGCTACGTTCTGCACAGCGTTGATAATGAAAGGGATCGTCCTTCTCTCTCTTTTCTCTCTTTCGCGCTCTCTTTCTCGTGTCGGAATGGAGCCGAGACGAGCCACGAACCCATTGAAGAATTACCGTCCGGCCAGCCATATCGTAGGTAGCGTTTTCCTCCTCCGTTTGCGCTTAACGTAGAATACAGAATTAACCTAGTAGAGACCGCAGCCGCGCAGATTATTGGCGATAATGACGTCTGTGACCGCGTCGAACACAAATTGAATGTTGTTCGTGTCGGTGGCACAGGTCATGTGGCAGTAAATCTCCTTCGTGGTCGACTTGTTCTTCGCTTCGAACTGTGCCTGGATGTATGCAGCCGCTTCGCTGTATTCCTGCGCACCTACGAGCGTTCAACACAGCCGTTAGCCATAAAAAAACCCGTAACGCAAGATAAAAAGATGAGAAACGCAACTTTCTTGAGAAACGTAACTTACCAGCGTATTCGGGAAAGCAGATTGTAAGAGGAGACTTGCGGATTTTCTCCTCGAAGAGATCCTTTTTGTTCAGGAAGAGGATAATCGAGGTGTCGGTAAACCACTTGTTGTTGCAAATCGAGTCGAATAGCTTTAAGCTCTCCTGCATTCGGTTCTGCAATATGTCAAAAAAAAGGATGACGTTACAATCTCGCTCGTTCACGCGAAATGTTCGCGTGCAAACTCCGCGGATGGACACACTTGCGATTCTAAAGTTTCGTTTCCTCCTCTTGCGAAATCTGACGGTCGATCAGACATGAGAGAATGCGATCACGAGAGAAAAATCCATAAACGCATAATCATACGGTATATAAATAGCGTGCTAACGATTCAAGCCCACGTCTCGTAGAAACTCGCTCTCTAAACGCGATTGTATTTAAAGCGATTAATAATGGCGTGGCGCGGCATTTGCTTCGCGCATAATCCGTATAGGCTATGATGGACCGACGATACAGGTCACGAGACGGACACACCGTAATGGCAATTAACATTGGTAGGATGACAACGCGCGTGTGTCATTACGCACGCGAGCGGAGAGTTCAACGGAACCTTCCCACGTGCAGCGACCCCGGCAATTGATCTCTTGATTCCTCGGAGAGGAATTCAGTTACGTTATTCGGTTACTCTCCCTCGCATTCCTAATTTGGACGTGATATTTTTCATACGGACACCGTGCGTACAAGCCGGTAACAACCATGCCTAACATCGATCACCTTGCATTTCTAACGTGACGAATGCGCGTGAATTTGCGATTAAACGAAATAAAGAAAACAACCGTTAGAAAGAGGAACCGTTTTTCTCTATCATATCTCATTTAAAAATCTCAATTAGAAATGTTAGAACTTTTTCTCCTCAAACTAAAAGAGGAAAGCAACGTAAAAGTCAGGTAGGATCTTTGTGTTTGAAATAAAATTTTTCTCCTTATTTAATTATGTATTTGTCCAGGATCATTATATGTTGGCTGTAACGATAATATCATAATAAGATTTGATGTCTCTTGAATTTTATAATATTATTAAAGTTAAAAATCCTAAGAAAAATTGATTTTCTTTTATTTCTGTGTGATATATACAAAGAAATAATTAATAATTTATATTATCTTTTTTCTTCATAATATCATAACAATCATGACAAACGAGTTTGGATCGAGTATTCGGAATTAAAGTAACGAATATGTTGAAAGAGATAAATTAGCAACGTCGTGTATTTACCGTCGTTTCGTCCTCGTGCAAGACCTGATCGTATTCGGACATTGCCACACAGAAAATAATTGCGGTTACATCCTCGAAGCAGTGTATCCATTTCTTACGCTCGCTCCTCTGACCACCCACATCAAATAATCTAAAAAAAGAGAGATAGAGAAAAATAATTAACTTTACTAGCATTTCGTTCTTTGAATTTTTAATCTAATCAATCATTTCTATGAAGTTGATATCACTTTCTTAAAATGTAAAAAAAAAAATAAGCAGAGTTCTAGGCCAACTTCGCAGAAATTTATTATTCTATTGTACTACATTACGATGTCAGAAAGTAAATGAAAAGGTTCACATGGTGTCTCATCTAATTTCGTTGTTAATCGGCAGATATAGAGAGAGAGATATAGAGAGAGTTGAGAAGCTAGTTGGTTTAGCGGGGACGTAACTATCTCGACACGCATTTTAATCGCTAGCAACGCTAATTTTCGATCCTCCGCGACAAATAGAAAGAAGTATCGATCGAGTACGATTCATCGCTCGGCTTCGTTCCAAGCAAACGCTCAAATTATCACGGTAAATGACTCACGCGTCGACCATTCATAACGAGGTAGCCGCCTCGCATCTTCAGAGTGTCGCGTTCGTTCGCGAGATTACACGAGTCGGCATAAATAAAGCAGGAACGAGTGATTGATATCGTCATCCACGAAACAGTCCTAATTAGCGTCGCGGGTTTACCTCACAATTTATCTTCCTGTATTAATCTATATTTAAAAATATATTATATTTAAAAATATATTATGAACCTTTATTTAATTGTACAACTAAGTTGATTGGATCTCGGCTTACTTGAAATTGAGGTTTTTGAATGAGAAGTGAACTTCTACAATGCCCGTCGTTTTCACTCGGGTTCTGAGGATATCCTGTTCCGTTGGCTGGTACTCCTTCGCTCCTAATCGATCCAAGTCATCCAGGAAGCTATAAAAAAAGAATACATTTGTAGGAAAATGTTGCAAAATTATAACTATTATAAATAGTGGCAATATATATCTTGACAATATATATCCAAAGTATTTTGACAACATGACAAATTAATTATTTCCTGCAGTTTCTGTTCTCTTCTATCTATTAAATATTTTTAATATTTGCACAGCATTTCTTAAGAGAGCAAAATAATTTTCTTTTTGATTAGGTCTGCTTAATTTATTTTTATAATACGATTCTTCTTTTACACGCGCCTAGATGCTTTTAACCTTCGACTCTAATCTCGATTTTTCATTAAATTGCGAGGACGATGAATTCTCGAGCGACTATCGATTAATTGGCAATAAATTAACATCTGCTTATAGAATAAATCTGGATTCGATTCTGAGCGGTGGGAGCGTTCGAAGTGGGAGCTAGGGCGCGGCTCGCAACAAGTAGCTGGAAGCGAGCGGATAAAATAAATGGCGTTACTGTAATCGGATTTTCGTAAACTGCCGTGCGAACTGGCTGCCACGAGCCAGGCTTCCGGTGCAAGCGCCTTAGAAGTTTCTCATTGATCGTTCGCGAGATCGACACGGTTGACAACATTTCGCAATTCAACATCGAGGACAATGTGAAAAAAAACAAATCCGATTATTCTTAGATATTATTTCAGTGTATATTTAATAATAATAATAATTTAAATAAAAGAAATTATGAAATGTTTGAATTGTTAACTTTGTTGTAGATTGCATTGTTGAATTAATTAATTCCATTGTCGGTTTAATAACTACAATTCTTGAATTTGACTACGCGATGTTGTTCTCGAATGTTGAATGTTAATGTTAAATTAATGATAGGCGATGCAGTTTGAATAATAAATATTTAATGATTAGAATATATTAAATGCTAAACTATTTTTCAAAATAAGGTATCAAATAAAAATGATTTAGTATTTTTTTTCATAAATGATTGTTAAAAAAATAAAAGTACAACAGTACTCGTATTAAAAATCCCTTCGTCAAATGTCCATATATTTTTCAAGAAGCAAACGGGGAAATGAAAGGTTAGGAAAAACCACGCAGCGCCACCTTTTTAGACTACTGCTTACGGCATTTAGGGATTGCGAGATAAGGGTTATAAGATGCCTTCTGGTTTCCGTAATGAATAAAGAAAAAGAAAATGAGATGAGAAAGAGGAGTAATCGGAAGCTGGTGATGAAGAGGACTAATGATAAATGAATCTTCAACAAGGAAGAGAAAAAGAAAAATGCGAAAAGTAATAGCCAGGCAATGCGAGGGAAGATACGATGAAAAGGGTCCAGAGCATGAAGAAGCGAGAGAGAAAGAGAATGAAAAAGAGAGGGGTGGCAGGGTGGTGAGTGCGCAGGAAATGGAAGCGAAGATCGAAGCACGGGGGAATCAGGCCGCCATGAAGGATTTGGCAATTCAGGACACGCCAAAGCCGAGACGAGCGAGCGAGTCCTGGTAATACCACCCTAGGGAGGAAAGAAGCTTAGATTTTTCTAGCAAGAGGAAAAAAAGGGAGAATAGATAGAGAAAGAGAGGAAGAGGCACGAATAAACCGAGAGGAGAAAATAGGAGAGAAGGTATACGCCGGAACCCGATCGGCCATCTTGGTTGCGTGCCACGTGACACGGGCGTGGCGTGACGTCATCGCGATCAATAATGACGAGGTACGCACGAGGGAGAAGAGAAAGAGAATCCCCCGAAGAAAGCGTTAAAGAGGAAAGAAGAGGAAAACTGAAAGAGAGAGAGAGAAATGGGGAGAGGGAGGGAGAGAGGAGAGAGAGAGAGAAAGTTGGCGCGCGTTTCTCGTAACATTTCGACTATCGAAGCTACCCCTGTCGTATCATCATCCCCCCTGTCGTGACCTCGTCTTCGGCCAAACCTGTCGCATCTCCTCCAGTACTCATTCCAGCGCGATTTCCTCCTCGAGAAATTCGCATTACTCTCTTCCGGCCTCGCGAAACGAAATTCTCGCGGCAGTCCCCTACACGCGAACTTCCCGGAGGGTTATTCAAGATCATCTCGTTCTTCCCTTTGGAATGTTCATTTTTCAGGTTTCAGAAGACCTCGCTTCTGATGACACAGTCTTTGAACCGAACCGCGATTGAGTTCTCCCCGAGCGAAAATATCGAGGAATCGAGATCTCGCCTGATTTGGGAATCACAAGCGAATTGATAGAAGAATTCTCTCGTTGGAAACTCAAAAGAAAAATCCGGAAAGGGGGATTCGCTATAATTTGACATCGATGTACATCTCGTGTGTGTTCGACACGTGCGCCATTCGAACAAGCGAGTTTCCTTCCTCGGCAATTCTTTTCTATTTCACCTACATAATACGCGAGACCTTCGAAAAAGAAATGGCGCATTTTGTCCTCAAAAAACGCGTGTAAATGGCGTTACTCTTTATTTGTATAAATTCGGTCTATTAATATCATCACGGTCATTTGTGTTCTATATATAGATAACGTGGGCAGTACAGTTAAGCACATCGTTTGCTCTATCATAAATGTATTTCTGGGCAAGCCAGACGCAAATAATTAATATAATCGTCGGAAGGTGGACTCGTGTTTTGCATTTCTCTCGACGTCGCTCTCGCGAATATTACCGCCCTTATCGAAGAGGCATCGACTTTCGTTATACACGATTATTACGAAATGGCGGGGTATCCCCGGTTGAATGATGTATTAAACGAAGGCGAGGCGAGCGCGAGGGGGAAAGAGAGAGAGAGAGAGAAAAAAAGAGGAGGGAAAAGGGAAAGGGAAAAAGCGTACTTGCGTGTGCAATAAATGTATGCGATATCGTGCAACCCGGTGCGAAGCCGCAGTGCGGTTTACTAAGGCTAACAATAAGAACGGCGCCAGAAAACGGCGTACGTCCGTGAGACGCCGAGAGAGAAAGACCGCTGCTCTCGCATTGCGTGCAGACGACGGAACACGTATGTCCTAATCGAATTTCTGTCGCTAATATCAGCGACAGGGATTTCGCAACAGCGCGACGTGGCATACACAGCGTTTGGTGAAAATGTGCGCGAATAAATCTTTCACGAGCAAACTTGTTTGTGGAGCTTTGTTTTCTTTTCATATCCAACAGGGGAATTTTTCCAAGAAAATGAATGCGAACCATCCTGCAAATTTTTTTTTTTTTTTTTGCTAACGAAAGTGAATTCTACTCATCGTGAGTAGAAATCTCAAATGTTTTAAATTAAATTTAAAAAAAACGTGGGAGTCTCTTTATCTTTTTTAATCTTGCGGGTACATTGATTTTTAATTTCAACCGCGGGTATTGTTGTAGAAGTAAAAAATAAACGAATTGTGCTTTGGCGAAAATAGATAATGTTAAAAAAGCTTTTTTTATTTTTTAATTACGATCTGCTCGAGTGTAACGATTCGACTTTATCAGAGTAAATAGATCCGCAATCATTATACGCGCTCGAAGTATGGCGTAATAAAAAAAAATGTATGCTTAGCGAAGATAACTGATGAAAGTATTGGAAAACGGCACTACACCGAGATATACAAGCTACTACAAAATCAATATCCAACGAAGGGGCAGCGCGGAAATATGCCTGCGAAACGCACCGAAAGGAAGAGGAGGAGCGACAAGTCTCGCGTTCAGGATGAGGTTTGCTCTTGCTACCTCCGCCCTTTCGAGCATGCGAATTCTCAAAACTTGAAGTTTGAATCCCAAATATCCTCCCCGTGAAGCGTGACAAAATCCGCGGCAATTGGTTACAAAAGTCATCACCGAATCGAAATTAATTTCGTTATATTGATATAAAAAGTTTCTCCTAGATCAAAAAGAAGCTTTCGATTTTGCCTGAAATATTCTCGATCAAATAATACAATTTGAACAAGTTAATGAGCGTTTCCTTTAACTCATAGTTGTAATTTTCAACTGGCAATTTTACAGCGAAATTGAGCTATTGTATTTCAAGAATACGGACATTAATTGTTCTCGCATTGCTTTTGTGTTATCAGAAAACTTGGATTTTTAATCCTTCGAGAAATGATCGTTTTCTAGCGCTACTTACTATTTCGCGGAGTCGTTCAACTGATACTCATTGCTCCTGCCAAAGCACTCCTGCACTCCATTATCGGACCACAGCCTTTTCATAGCCGCCAGCAATTCTTCGCTAAAGGGTTCCGTGTCTTCCATTCTTTGAATTACATCGAATACCATTTTCGCGTCCGTCTGCAAGTATGGGAAACATGTAAGTCCTTACATCCGAAATTCTTATTATGTCGTGTGACCATGTTGTCCCAAACTTTGCCAAATGCTTTAATTCTAGGCTGCAAATAATATCGATTAATATAATAATATGAAATAAATATTAATTGCTTTTTGCACTCGAATTTTTCCAATATTTAATTACTCGATAGATATAATCTTGTTATTAGCCAAATTTTTTCCTGTGAGATCGTTTGTCCAGATATCGAGTGAAATCTAATCTTCTAGCTAATCAAAAATCAATGATATTTATATGATTAATGCTATATATATATATTGAAAGAGTTTAAAAAATTGGCCAGATACAGAGTTAAAAATAATTTCGTTGGACCATTAAAATTTTTAGGATGTTTAAGCACAATGATAAAACTGTAAAAATTTATAACATTTTAGCGACTAGCGTTGAACTTCATAATTATCTCTAAATTATTTTCAGATCTTTGGCCCAATTTTTACATATTTCAGGAAAATTGTATACAGATGTATTTTAAATACATCAAATAATCACGATGATCTTCCATAATTAATATGGATATGATTACTTTGTAATTTTTTTGAATTACACATTTATATAAAAAAATAATGTAATTACATTGAAAAAAATGATCATAATTATTCGTGCGATCTTGGAGCAAGCATCCGGCGAGTAAGATCGCCTTACACAGTCACACTTTAGACGGCTAATCAACCAGGCAACACGTTATGATTCGCCGTTGAATGCTTCATTCATTAGATAACCGTCGGCATGTAGTAAACTACATTCTGGATGTCATGTCATGCTTCACGAGTTAAAATAATCGATACATAACATTTAAATAGCATACAAGATATACACGGCTGATACGCATGTTACCGATTCGTTTCCATAATTTTGCAGTTGACATTTCATTGAAATTAAATGAGCGACGCACACGCGGATACATCTCGAGTATGGATGGACGAGCAGCATAAATAAAGGCACGGCGCTAATAAATTACCACGGAAATAAAAAATTAATCATTTCTGTATGTGCGATAATTTTTTTGTCAAACAACACGATTGAAAGCAAATTTACAAAGATAGCTTGGGAAAGTTTAAACTGTAAACCTTTTTATCAAATCATGCTAGAAGATGAAGAGTATTCATCAAACTACGAAATTTAAAAAAAATCATAATTCGATAAAATTGTAACTTAGAAATTACATTGAAATTATTTTGTAGTAACTTCGAGATCCGTGTGATATCTTACTCGTATCGCAATTTCAAATTTATAATCCGACGGAATCTCTTCACGAACTCTCTATTTTCTAAAACGTTCGGATATACAGAAGTGCATATTACCTCTCGCTCGTTGGTTGAAAAGCTGATGCCTAGATTAGGCATTGCTCTGAGAATAGCGACTAGAGATTGTATCGTGTTACTGTATACGACGGGTCTGTACTGCTTGAAGTCTTCCGGCGTGAAGCCGCTCTCGTGGATAATTCTGAAAGCAGAATGGGACTCGGGTTAGCACGTTCACGTGGTGAGACATCAGACACGCACACAGGAAGAGAGACACGAAATGTCTCTTTTCTGTAAATATTAGGACGGGGATTGTTACTTCGGAACGTTTACTTAAAAAAATACAGAGTAGAAGGAGGGAAAAAAGCAGCCGTACCTAAAGCAGAAGCCGTTCTCTGAAAGAAAAGAATGAATACGTACGTACGAGAGAGTGCAATACTTGATATTATTAATATCATATTATCGATACGATTTGAATGAATAGACGCGTCGATGTCCCACTTAATTTAAGTGCGTCTGGCTCCCTCGCAACAAATTTGCAATCGCTCCGTAATATACGCGTGTCACGTGCGCAACGACTCGAATTAATATATGCCACGTAGTGTATCGTGTGTAAACGCATATATGAATTGCAATGCGCGCTACATGTACTCCGTGACTTACATGAGTGCCCATACATATCGTAACAATGTTTGGAGTCAACACAGATGAATCGTAGAGTCGGCGGTGCTATGTATACAAGTGAAAACACGGTGTAGTATTACGTGGAATAGATCTATGTTCGTACCTGCGATTAAGTATACTTTTCTATATATAACCGCTCGCGAAAATGTTCCGAATATGATCCTTAAAAAGCGTGAAAAAGGGACATACAAGGGACGAAAAGAAGTTTTGCTGAAGTATCTAAAAATTCAGCCAGATTTAAAAATAATTTTTGTTGAGTCATCAAAATAATATAAGACGAACAAACACAATGGTAATATCGCAAAAATTTTTGACAATCTAGCAGCTAGAATGTCCTACATAAATATTTTGATGGCCTAGTAAAATTATTTTCAGATTTGTATCTAAAGAAATTTTTGTATACTTCAGAAAAATCTTCTTTCCTCGTATACATTTCTAATTCGACGGAAACCAAAATATTTACAAGAATAAGAAGTTAATTTACATTCTAACATTAATTAGCACATTCTTCTTGTCATATGTATATTTTATTATGACGTTTTTATTATAACGTTCAAAGGACTCTAACGACTTCTCCATCCTCCACTCCTGAACCAAAGAATCAATCGAAAACCAAGGGCGTGCAAATTTCGAAAACGCTTTATTAATAAATTTATAATTTGTACTTGCAACAATATTATGTAATGTAATTCTCATCGCGTCGTCAAACCGTTTGCGCGACCGTCGCGCAAACGTTACAACATTTAACGGCGTATTAATCCCAACAAAGAATATCGCACTGTCCATTACGTTAATAAATGACACAGAAACGTGTAGCGGGCGTCCGCTGTTTCGAGAGTAACGATATTAACGGCAGCACGGGGAGCGTGCGTTATGTACGCACGCACACATCGCTAGATTTATAGTTGCTCTCGCACGCGAGAGGGAAAACCGGCCGGAGAGAGTGCGCGTAAAATCACGCTTCGCTCGTACTTCAGTCTCGGACATCTACCGCTCGCTGCATTATGCGCATCCATAAATTATGCAGCCGGAAAGCATGCACCGAGAAGATGTACGGGGGAGTGGTTACATGTACGCAAAGAACATTGTTTCGAGAACACCCATAGTTTTTCCTTCAAGACAACCGGATGATTCGCTACGATTTAATTATTAATTTTTTTCTCCTCGATACAATATCGACACCCCTTTACGTCATTTATTCTAGAATTGTAATCCATGGGAGATTTTCGACACGGATTTAACGGCACTGGCACTTCGAAAAGAATGGAAATCTAATTAACTTGTGAGAAAAAAGTGTAGAGAAAAATATTGAGAGCTGGAAGAGAAGCATCTATTCGAGATCCCTCTATTCGCGCGAGTGACAGCTTCCCTTCCGTCTGGAGAATTACGCATAGCGGCAACTTTGTTCGTGGGACCCCTTGAACAGGCCCCATTCATGGCGCAGGTCACAGGAAAGAGAGAGAGAGAGAAAGAGAGAGAGAGACTCACCCCACACAGAGAATATGCTAATCTACATGAGAGAGAGAGAGAGAGGAGGAGAGAAGGAGAACACGGTGCTAACATCTCGGACGAGCTCGCGCGTATCACGGAACAGCTGCTGCCCTCGGATACGCGCGAGCGTATCGTAACATTGCGAGTATCGATCTTGCCGAGGCGAGGCAACAGTTTGCCTCGAAATAACGCCGATGCACGGACGCGAAAAGATTAATCTATTATTCGCACATGCGAGAGATGGACACGGCGTTATTATGCCACCATTCTGCCTACTTTCGAGGCGCGACGACGATAATTCACGAGGAAATTGCGGCGGTCTGTGCGGCGTAGAAAGGCTTTTCGGGTATAGATGTGACGTGAGTTTTATTTAATTAAAAGATCATATCCTCGTGACGACATAGAATATAACAAATATAATAAGCGAACGAACATTTTTCATACAAACTTTTTCATTAGTAATTTTATACGATACGTTCTTTTATTAACATGAGTTTTCGAAATAATACGAGTATTGCGCGCCTATGGATTGTATGGAAACCTACCCAAAATTATAGTTCACGCAACCATGAGGATGATTCATCCGACTCGTGCGTGTACGCGTGTAATTAGGCGAATTTCGCGTTACGAACTCGTTACCCGAGAATTTAACGGCTCTTCCACTGGAAAATGAGACGGTACGAAGAATGTGACAAGAATGGATCGTGGATACAATGGTACAATGCGGCGTCTGCAAGGCTCTCCTTTGATGTTTCGCGTCGTCGCGGAAATGCTAATTTGCGAATACTCATCAGTTAGCTGCAGACCGATCACGAGAAATATTTTCCCACGCTCCTCTCCTAATTCTCAAGTGTATTTTCAATCAACCAGATTTTTGTATTTTAAATTTCATTTTGTTGACTTAAATCCCCAACAATTTGATTCTGGTGTTTTTCCTATCCAAATTGTAATATCTTTTATATATAATTAGAATATATTTTCATATCTTCTTAAATTTTGCATAAGTTATATTTATATTCTTTTGTATTTATTATAATGCATATGCGCAATAAGGACATGTATTCTTATTTTCTTCTCATTTCTTGACGTTACTAGTAATTTATCCTTTCTCTTTAATTTTACTATTTTTAACATTAATAACTCCGTTTAACCAATCTTTTTTAAAAGATATTTATTTTGTCTAGAAACGGAGTTACTCAAATTTAAATGATTTAAAATCGGTCGGAAATGAGTCAAATGCCTAATTAGGCATACATTTCGGTTTGCTTACTAAGAGTTGAATGACTTTAATCATAACGCACGTCTATTCGCTTAAGAAGTAAATTGTATAAGATGCTTTACTATACCCTATACGTATTGTTCGCTCGCAATTCTATTATTTTGTCAAGTCGCGACGATAATCCAAATCTTCCTGATCTTCCAATCAAAAATTTTCGTAATCAAAGAATTTCCTTTGAAAAATATATGTTTAAAAAACTGTAGAAATCAAACTGTAGAATTTTGTTTTTCACAATCGTCAAAACAATCTTGTTTAAAAAGTCACGACGAACGTAAAAAGAGAAACTATTGCGAAATTAATTCAGACTTAACTGGTGATCGGAAGTGACCGATGTGAGTTAGGGAGTAAACAACATGTAATCTCGCTTCAATAATAGAATCCCCCTCCTTTAAATGATAATTAGTGCATGTAGTGCGAAGCGCTAAGACGATTATACTTACTTCATTTGTTTCACGATCGTACTCTTGCCGGATTCGCCCGCTCCTGAAAAACAGAAAGAAAGGCATTAATTGAGAGCAATCAGTTTCACGATTGCGTATCGCCGAATTACGTTGCAAATGAATTCCTTTGTGCATTGGACAAAGGAAAGATAAGCTTCTTGTTCTCAATTTAATACCAAACGGAATTTGCTTTGAGAGACTCTCCACGCCAGAGCTATCTCCAACGACATTTTACATAAAGATTAGAAAAATTATGGCAAATAATCTTTGTTCATCAAAGAAAAAAATCAATAAAAAATTCGGCAAGGAACATATATTAAAATTCGATGCTGAAAATAGAAATTATTTTGTATATTAATTTGCATATTCACTGAGTCAAATAGAAAGGAAGAGAGAGAAGTGTTATTTTATGTTCTGGATATTAAATTCTAATTTACTAATTAATAATTTTCTACGAGGAAGAGTTTCGCATAGACGTCGGTTCGACGAACGCGTTAGGGCAAAGCGAGTCGCGAGTTATCGCGAAATATGCCACTCTGTATAACCGGATAACGTCGACGGAACTCGCTTTTCCTGCTTACCGCAAGCCTCCGCTCTCTCTCACTTTTAAAAGCACTCCCGGCGTAAGTAGCCGTCTATAACCAGCTACTCACGGCTAGAGTCGTTTAGTATCGAACTGAATACACGTGAGATCTCGAGTGAGGAACGCCCTACAGGCGGCGACCGGCGGAAAGAAAGGAGTCATCTCGAGACACCGACGATGATCCTCGTCGTGCTCTCGCCGAGGTAAAACACCGAGCGTAGAGCTAAACGAGTTGCAAAATTCCGCGTAGAGCTCGCCGAAATCGTGACTTCCCCGGCGTTCTATTTTACTCAAAGTAGTTGTTGTTCTTAGGCACTTGATAGAATAGTAGGCGCTACGCCTCGATAAAATAAGATAAAATAAACTCAGCCTGCCTGTTTACTTAAGATAAACAGTATCTCGAGAACTCTCTGGTAACACGGTGTTAGATCCTATGTTGATATGTCCTATGATTTTAGATCCGATCTAATTAGATTTTATTTAACTCTAGTTAGATTTAATCCCCTTCCCTCCCCCCGCCCCTTCCTATCTTCTGTGTGTTATGCTGCACCGTGTGCTTCCGTTTATTATTCGTACAACGGTTTGTTACATCCTTTTGATATGATTTAAAACCAGATAGCGTTTACTATGGCGTCGCGGTAAAATTTAGAACCTGTCAGCCACGTTTACTACATGTTCCGTCAAAACTTAGAACCGTTGATGATCGGTTTATCTTCGAATCCGAGCCAGGAATGCACGTCAGTACGCATTACTTCCTGCAGCTACGTTCTCGCTTGCGTTTTCATTCACCTGCTCTATCTTCGGAAAGTTCAACCACTAAAAGGCGACTTTATCCATCGCAAACGCGATAAATGCGGTAAACAGAGATAATTTAGATAAATTTGAGCGCTCGGAGGGCGATGGGAGAGAAGAAACTGTTTGCGCTACACTAATCTACATCAATTTGATGCAAAATCAACCATACGTAGGAATATTCATGAAAATATAATATAACATGAACGAAAATTTAACACAAACGTTTACATTAAAAAAGAAAATACGTAACATAAAATCAGGGAACTTCTATGAATTTATATGAATGCTTTAATCAATATGAGACAAAACTCGCAACTACAATTTTATAAAGAATATAAATATTTTATTTATGCTGAATTTTATATATGAAATATCGCGGAAAAAAATTCCATTTAATAAATTTCTATACATCAAATATTTTTATATATTAGCACTTAATTATTATTAATAATTATAATAATATAAATGACAATGAAGTTATAAGTTTATATTTAAAACTCATCTGATTCTTTAACAAATGTAAAACAAAGATACTCTTTTGATAATTTCTTAACTAAGAAGAACAGTGAAAAGATTTGAGAGATAAATTTAAAAATAAAATATATCTTAGTCTTCTTTTTTAATGAAATTTAATTTCTTTTTTGATAATATTGTAAAATAAAATAAATTTTACGTAATTCTATGTATATGTTGCAATATTGATGCTATATTGAAAAGTAAAGTATTAATTGTAATGTAATTAAATATTGAATGTAACATTTAATACATGGAAAAATGCTTAGTCGTTATTAAACCGTAATATAATTTTATAAAATTTACAAATTGTAATAAATTAGATTTTATTGCGCTACTCTTCAAACATTTTAACTGCTTTCATGCGCAAACAACACATCCGTGCCCTTTGCCATTTTTCTCCATTTCACATCGGTACATGCGCTGATGGTACGTAATCGATACTGTTTCCTAAAGTATGCTTAACTACACTTACAAAATTTTCCGTAACTTCCGAAATAAAACGTCTGTGTGAACTGAAGTTCCCAAAAATCTCTCAGTAGTTTTTAATATACTTATAAAATAATTTGAAAAGGTGAAAGAGAATGAAATACATATATTTCTAAACTTTCTACCTAAATCTCTGTAATTTTTTTATAACTAATCATTGAAATCTATTGAAATCTTAGGATTAATTTAATGAGCAGTATATTGAAAAAAGGAGATTGTTTAGATAAAGTTCTCTTTCATCCATAACTAATTTAAATACAAAGATCCGATAATAAAAATAAATTGAGGAAATGATAACAGCAAAATTATAAAATCTTTTAAAGGGAAAAAGATCTCTTTTATTATATAAAAGCAGAGTAAAAAAATCAACATTTTCTCTCTATTCACGCATTTTTAACGCTTTGTATACTGACACGCTGCACACCGCGGTACAAAGAAGGCACCTCAGTCGCTGACATTTAACGCCATAGAGCCGCCCTGCGTCGCCTTGAAATACGCAACGTGCGTTCGTATTTCGCAGCCGAGGCACCATTAATCGGATGAAAATACTCGCAGCCAATTTGCGCACGTACATACGCACGCACGTTCAGCCGGCAAATGACGTCACTGGTTACACCAATAAACAGGACCCATATTTCGCTAGAAAACGTATCTTCCACGACCCTCGTACATCGCATTTCAAGCTAACGCAGATTGCAATTCTTAAGATGTATAGCATGTCTCCGGAAGATAAACGTCGTTAAAAATGGGAAACCTTCGGTTAACCAAACTTGCGCACGAAAATTTGATTTAGTAATTAAATTCGTAACAATATTGCTTTTATAGGAAAAAATTTAGCCAGATATTTAATATCGAATAATGCAACGATTATAATGCAACGTGAGTTGAAAAAAAAAAATAAAATCAAGGTCGATAATTCTCTCGGACACCAGGTATATCCCGTCTCGGGAACGGAGAATGAGAAAAGGCGAGAAAGTAAATTGAAAATGTGCGAAGCAATTAGTACGCGGACAGATAAACGGAGACAATAACGCCGGTGCATTTTATGCCGCCTCCGCACTGATTTTGCTCTAATTATAGCGCAAGGCCAGCGAAGAATTTTTCATTAAGACTTTGATCGAATCAAGAAGCACAATTAGCACGGTAATATTTATGAAATAATGAAAATTTGACAATAATCAATTAAATGCTATATGATAATTTCATTAATATCTATGCGAGAGAAAATAATGTTGCAACAAAACATGAAATTTATTAACAAATGATTCATTTGTGAAAAAGCCACAATCATGAATGGATTCCAGATTTTATAAATATCTCTATTTATCTTTGTTCTACGTAATCATTACACATTATGTAACTCGTAGGAATTTTTCAAACACTCAATAGAATAGGAGTCATCGCTAACAATCAAGGATTTAATCTTGCTTTTAATCCTATTTACGCAAGTAATCTTAGGATATAAATGGAACAAGCAATTCTTTGAAATAATTATATGGTTTCTGATTAAAATAAATGCACAGCTTCCATAAATATTATTTTGAGAAACAAAAATTTGTTACGATAATTTTTTATGTTATATCGTATATCAGTAGCATATGTTTTCTTTTAGATTATTTCTGAAACATTTTTTTCATCTGAAAGATTTAATTGAGTTTTGCTTCTATTAGGATACTAGAATAAAAAGAAATGTCTCTGATGTAAGAAACGTAGTTTGACCGAACGAATATAAAATGTTGGAAACTGCGTTCCCAAATTATCCTCGTGTCACTCGAGTGCCACAAGCTCGAAAAAAAAAATCTGGTGATAGACTTTCCCTGTCGACTGAAAGTTTCAGCTTTTGTATCCCGCAGCCCAAGGGATGCTGACACGTGGCAACAGTATGTGTCTCGGCGAATATCAGGTCTCCCGACATTCGGCATCAAGTTCCCGACAGATACCTCAAACGTTGGAGCCGGATAAGAAAAAGGGAGAAAAAGGACCCGTATCTGATTTATTTTTCCAGTTTCTCTCTCCGGCGATCTCGCGGCGCCGTCCGTCGTCTATTTCAGTGAAAATATTTTCGTCGCGCGAGAATCTACGTTACGTATCACTCCCGCCCCCGTCATCCCTGTCATCTCAGTTTTTAAAATCGAGAAGTTCTTTTCTGACTCAATCCGCGTGCGAGCAAATGAGACGCGCTATCCCCGCGTCATCTCGGTCGCATCCCAAAGCGTTGACGTCATCGATGAAACGTCAGATAATGTCTGATGTCGACGCCGGCAATTATGCGCCACGAAGCGTGCACCGGCGTGGACTGAAAGAACTCACGTCGGATGAACGATCGGGCATTACCCTTCCGCAATAAGGAGGAACACGCTTGTTGCGCCATTCTTCCGGTTTTACGTCGCATCCAATTTCCTGCATGCCGGTCGATTTAAAAAGCCGGCACTCTATCCGCGAGAGCGCATGGAACGCGTGCACGAGCACCGAGATGAATCATCTTTAAACCTGGGAAGGAGCTTCGAATTATTATCTCGCAAATCCAAAGAATCCATGTGCTCCTGCTGACATCTAACTTGGGCGGAAAATTCTACTCTTTTCGGTCACGGCCTTTTTCAACGTAGCGAATCAATTTCCGGCTTTACGTCAAAGGTAATCGCGACTTCTGCAGGCGACGGGGAACTTTGATATAATTAACCTGTGATTTAGCACGCATTTAAAAAGTTAGGGTAGATCGATAAAGACTGTAGAAGAGAGAGAAGGCGAAAGAGTCGCAACTCCTCGCCAATCATAGATCCATAGTTCATGAAATATCTAAAGAGAAACGGCGGTGTAGATACTTCGCAGTGTCGTCGATATAATCGCGCTCGGTCACCAAGTTGTATGTATCTCCCACGAATAATTTCCCAACAATATTTACGCAGTTTGACGAAGTTATTCTTTTTATGTTTCAAAACTCGCATTGCTAGGTAACTCGTACAATTCTTTCCAACTGTTACATTAGTCATATCTTCTTACTTCCTCGCTAATTCCTTCTGATTTATCGTATCAATATTTTAGGCAAACAGCGTGATCATCAAAACAAAAATAATATTCCAATAAATTTATGATAATATAATAATTTTTACGTTATATTTTTCTTACTTATTTATGTTTCAATGTGATTTACAATTTATCCCTTTTGTCCCTTTTAATTATGTGCTTTAATTATAGTGCTTTTCACATGTTGAATGTACAAAGTCATCAGATCCAAATCAAATATTTAACTACTTGCTCCCTTATACCTAGCCATTTCCGCAATGTGTGATAACATTATTTTAAAGCAATTTAAATTTAATAATAAAAAAAAGAAAAAGAAATAAAATATCGAGATTCTATAATCTATAATGTTTTAAATAGTACATTTAATTTTGAAAACAGATAGGAATCTCAAATGATAACATAATTCAGACATAAATTAACAAAATACGTAATTCTACATATAATATTCCAATTTTATATCGGTTTAAAGATATTCTATGCAGGATAGAATTCTAAGCAAAAATTAGGAATATTGGTTGTATTTTTTTTTTTCAAATTTCCAAATCTAAAATAGCAGAGAAATCTGCTGGATCGGTCCACCTATAATTTCACGTTATAAAATTTTAACGAGCGCACATATCGCGCGTACAGTTTATTCCCGTCTGACATGTATTTCGGGATGAATCGAGATGAATAAGGTAATTACATACCGAGCAGCAGGAGCTTGATGTCCTTGGCTGCCTGGATACCATCCTCCTTAAGATTCTTCTCGATCTGCTTGCTGCGAGCCAGAGCGGCCCGCTCTTCCGCGGACATGGCACAGCCCATCTTGCTACACGTTGCCTTTACAAATGCCACCCTCACGCACTTCCTCTCTCACCAGCTGCTGCTAAACAGCGCGGCCAGGTAACGGCCCCGTCGCCACGAAGAGGGTGAAACGACTTCCTGGCGCAACTTCTTCTCCTCCACCACCACCACCTCCTCCTCTCCGCGTCCTTAATCCCGTCCTCTTCGTCGCACTTCGCACCCGTCGCCGTCGTCACCACAGCAGCCGATACCACCACCGACACCACAACCACCGTAAACACTTTCGATACCACCACTAATACCACTATCGACACTATTGGCACTACCTCCTTCACCGGTTTCACCGTCTCTTCCGCCGCCGCCTCCTCCTCCTCCTCCGCCACCACCACCGCCGTCCTCCTCCTCGTCCTCGTCTTCGTCGTCTTCGTCTTCGTCGTCACCGATGGCAACCTTACTGGCGGCAACCGGCACCGAGTGGTCCTCTAACTACCTGGGCGACCGCAGCCACCCGTCCGCGACTCTAATGACCGCCACACTTGCGTCGATTTAACCGCGCGATTCAGCTGCGCCTGTAATCAAAAAAGGAATCAAATCAATCTTTGTGAACATTGCAATCCCACTCGAGAAATCTAATCGAGAAATGAAACGTTAACTTATCAGTTAGGAAGTATCTAGAGCAGGTATGGTCAACCGGCGACATAAATGCCACTAATGGTCTAAGAAGAATGATCTAAAGAAGCACGGGCTGTTAAAAAAAATTTTTTTAAATCAAAAATGATAATAACTTTGTTAAACGAAAAGTCTTTTCGCTTCCAGTGCAAGAGAAGAAAATATAAATAAAATTATAGCTTTTTTTTACTTAATTCTGTAGCAGGCACATCAAAGATTTCGATAATAATACATCAAACAAAAGAATTGGCCATCCCAGAATATCAATCTCATTTTTGCTCAGCATCATTTCTCTTTATTTGGTGAACAACAAAATGAAATAGTTCTAAAAAAAAACGGTCTTGCGAGCGTCAATTATATCGTATTTCTAGCAAATATGATCTGTCGAAACATATAATAAAATAGACTGCACCATTAAGATATTGAAATCGATTTTTAAATAATTTACGCTTTAACAAATTTAGATGTAATAATAATTTTTCCACTTAGAAGAAAGTGAGTTGAAAAAATAAAAATTAATTTCATACTGTATATTACTATAGGCAACTCTTTAATATCCATCACTCTATAAAAATCCTGTTCGTCACGAATACGAATGCGAACGAATTAAAATAATCAATTGCGTATTTCCGAATCTCCGAATTAGATCATCGATATCGGTATTGTTTAATCAATCTTCACTTCCGGATATAGAGAAGAAAGACGAATGACACTCGTTTTCGTCTTTCCGACGATAAATACGATCACGCCTTGGCAGATCTCCCGTGTTTGATACGCCGAAAGATTCTCGACCAAATCATCGTTGATAACATCGTTTGTACGTCGTATCTCGTTATTATTCCTCCGGCGCGAGCCGGATAATAATTTTATTAGACTGGCGTATCGTAACCGCGCTCGATGCAATTTAAGACCTTATCACTGAACATGAATCCGATTTAATGTCATTAGCCATAGTAAATGAAACACTAAATTTTATAATAATGAAAGGAGAAATAACAAATCAACGAGAATAAATAAAAATTGTAAATTTTGTGCAGTCAGTATTTTTATACTATTAAATAAAGATATTTTATATAAATAATTTAAAACAATAAGATAGACTGAAGAGTTTTAAAAATATTATATGTTTGATGAATTCGTAAGAAAAGTTCGGTCTGGACAATTTTATTCACAGTTTATAGACAACTAGAGTAGATCTCGTTTGGTTAGACATGACAGTAGCGTAGGTTTATGTTTAGTCAGCCTAGTTTTGACGCAACTCACGAAGAAATGCCGTTGCGTGGAAAGACGACGAATTATAATAAAGAAATCAAATTGTGGATCTTGACGAGCTATTTAAGAAAACTCAATCCAAGTTTCCTTTCTCAGTTGCCGAGAACAAACTTAACTTAACAGAATGAAAAGATAGCAATGCTAAATTAGATTCTCAATTTATTTGCAATTAGATTCTGATAGCAATCGCTTCGTAATTTAATAAAAACAAATTAAATTTTCGAATATCAAAAGTAAACAGTGTTCAAATCTGAAAATCTTATAAAACGCCAATAGTAAAACAACATTAAATTAAAGCCGTAAATTTCTCTTAATTTAAGTAAAACAACTTCCCGTTAATATTTAACGCGCAAATAATTCAATAAAGTGGCGAATATTGAAAACATTAAACAAACAAAATAAAATAAAACGTAATAAAACAAAATAAAATAAATTCGAATTGTGACAAAAGCAATTGTTAACATAACGTTACCTTTAATTAATTATTTTGCTGTCTAGAAACATAAATCCAATAAAATATCGATATCTTTTTCCCGCATTTGACACCGAGTCTCTTCGCGAATTTTAATAATAATAATACAATTAATTAATGAATAGAGCAAAAATGAGAAAAGCGCTGTAAGAAGTGCGCGATTAATTTTTTTTAACAATAATGTTAATTTTTGGCCGGTTTCTAGGGCGCCCAGCGTTATGATGTTGCAAAATCGAAATTCATTGAGATCGTTCCGGCCGCGAGAGCTAAATTTTTAACTAGCCGGAAACCGCGGAAGTTGCGAACTGGGAATGCCCGTGGTTTATTCGTTTGTCGGATTGCACGTATCTTCACAAGCACGGCATTACGTGGAAACACACCGGCGTACGATCAATAAAATGCAACGACCTGATATAATGGAAGCGATACGCGCGTCGTGCTTCATAAAATACCATCGTCGGCATAGTAAAACTAAAATACGTTAAGGAGACATGCGGAAAAAAAGAGAGAGACAGGCGATAGATCGTCGTCCCCTGGACTTATCGAGTTCCTCGCGGTTTCATCTCCGGCCTCTCCTCCGGTCCGCCTCTCTTGTCCTCGCGTAATTAATGTGTAGCATAAGAAGAAATCTCTTGTGATATGCGAGATAAGCTCATAATATACAAAGCCTAATTTTCATTTATTACGAATATTACTTGCGAATTATATATTTTCTTTCGGACTATACTCCGAACGATTAGATCATCATTGTTTGATTAAAAAGAAAAAAAACTGTTTATTTTAAACGGATATGCGGAATATTTCATTTTGTAACGTAAATTTTATCGTCAATATGACTTGGAATTGATACATCGTTCAGTAGTGCGCAGTAGTTTTAATACGACAGGAGAGAAAGGACTCGAGTCCTCAAAAGCCTACATAAGCCACGCTTAATCGCACACACTCAAGTGCCCGAATATCTTCTGCGTTTCCTTTCGTATATTTGAATAATTAACAGCCTTCGTGCCATTATAATTTACCATTAATCTGTCTTGAAAATACTATATAAAATCGACTTGCTTGATGAATAATTTATATTACATTAAAAAATCTAATTTAAATTAATACATACATAGATAGATTTATGTTAAGTACAATTACATTATTTTGCGTATTTAATATCACAAATGACAAATGAAATCAGATCCCTCATTGTAGTATTGATCAATCATCGAGGCAAAAGCAAGGTAACATTATATCGTTATAAATTTCGAAAAAATTTTTCGTAAAAATTTTTTAAAAAATTTTCTGATAATTTAGCTACGTTCATTTCCCGCATTTGAGCGATTTGATACATCAGTGATGTAACACGAAACCTTCTATCGATTGTGGTCACGCAACGGGTATTCCAGATCGTATCTGAAATTTAAAATCATTAAAAAACGCAAGCAGACACCTCGTTCTGCGTATGTGTATTTACGTCGGGGGAAGATTAAAATACATTTTACGAGCGTTGTCGTTGCGTTTTATCGAGGAGTTGTATTTTCTTTTTATATTCTGGAGACTGAAAATATTTCTTCTCCGTGACTTCAACGAAAACACGTTGATCCACGTATACGTATATCGCGCGTATTGCAATTTTATCATGAGTGACGTATCGCCGCTCGCCTATAGGTTCTGCGAGCGTAATTGAAAATGGAAAGTAAAATTGTTTGATCGTTTATTTTTATTAATTACCAAGAGTTTCGTTTAGCTTTCGAATGTCGACGCTATTTTAGAAAAAAATAGGATGGATAATTAGAATTGTTAGCGATCAGGGAAAACTGGGAGGTGGATTAAACATAGTCTGGAAAAACCAAGAAACATCAGGAAATAAAGAAATTTATTAAGATAAAATTAAATTGCTGTAATATCAACTCTAAATTTAAACTTTAATTCTTTAAAAATTATTAAACAAAAATTTTAAAATTATTTAAAAAAGATTATAAATATTTTAAAGTTATGTTTTATTTTGTCACTTTTCATTTATTTCCTGTTGTATATTTGTTTGTAATTAATAACAATTTTAATATACCTTTTTAATTTTGTTAAATGCTTCCTTCAGATATCAGATATCAATTAGGAAATTTATCTAAGAAAAATAGCGGAAAAACCAGGAAAAATTAGGAAAAAAATTTTTTTGTTTCGCTAACAATTCTAATATAACATAATATAAAGCGAGTTTTAATTAAAAGAATCTTGTCTGCAATCTTTGAATTTTCAAAAACGCAATTATTTCAACTGATTTTGAAAATACTATATGGAAAAAACAGTTTTCCTGACAAACCTAAAGATTTGATCAGATCTGAAAATAATTTTGTTGAACCATCAAAATTATTATAATAAGACGCTTAAAAATGATAAAAATACTGCAAAAATTTTTTATCTTCTAGCAATCAATTTGAACATCATGCATAATAATTTTGAAAACTTGAACAAAATTATTTTCAAATCTATATCTGGCCAAATTTTTAGATTTACCAGCAAAAGTGTTCTTTCCGTGTGTTCCGTACCCAAGCGAACGAGAGATTATTTCTAAGAGATCCTATTATTTCTAACTGTCTCTACTTAAAATATGAATACTAAATGAATAAAATAAGTAATTTAAATAATTTTCAATTGCTTCACATTTAAGTCACATCAAACGCTAGCCTGAAATAAATGAATTTGTCAAAGAACGCCAGATGTGAACTCGTAAACATGAACGCGCATTAACACGATCGTATAATTTGGATTATGCGTTCATTGTCCTCGAATACATATCATTTCGAAGATATGACAAAAGTAATTAAACAATATACGATAAAGAGTTCATGTACGACTCGCACACCGGTCAATCCGCCAATTGCCATTCTTCTTTATCGAATCCCATTTCGCGAAACGAGGACGTTTCACAGTTTCGAAGCACCCTTATGACTTTTCAGTTTTCATCCCCTACCCCCCCCTCCCCACCCTCGGCACAGGATCGTGGCAGTTAACGGGTGAATCGAGCGTCGGTGTGCGACAGTCGCGCGTATTCCAACAGAACCCCCGCCCTCTCTCGTTCTCTCTCTCTTTCTCTCTTTCTCTTTCTATCTCTCGACCCTTTCTACTTCCCTCTTTCGGAGCAGCTCGCCAGGGGTAGCTCTCGACGGTATCACCACGAGCGCACAAACGGGGTGCTTACCCCGGCAATCCGTCGATACGAATCGAACGTGTACGTGTACGCACCTCCTTTCGTGTATCCTGAGGTGACGTCGGGATTCTCTCGCCGTGTCTCTTTCTTTTTGTCTTCTCTTCACCACCGGCACTCTGTATGTTCTCTCTCTCTCTCTCTCTCCTCCCTTCTCCTCCCCTGTTCGTTCCCGGAGTAGTTTTTCACTTGGTTCAGGCTATTTGATCGATATTCCGGGAGAACGGTTTCCGGCAGGAGCACGGTCGGTGGTCCTGCTCGGTTCGAC